CTGAATGCTCAATTCAAGGAACAGTCTTAGATTTGGGGAAATACACTTTTTGCTTTCTTGCTGAAAGTTACAGATCCATAACACTGTCAAAGATGTTATCATGGCTGGGCTACGATTGACTTAAACATTCTATGATTAAAAAATGCTACATTTAGTTATATGAAAGTTGCTAACTCTCAGGTTACAAAGTGTAATTAGACTACCGCCGAGTTCTGTGTTTTTGTGGCCCATAAAGCCCAAGGCATTGGCATTACTGTGACGGTGCCGTCTGACTTCCTCAACAAACACATTGGTGGTGAAGGTAGGCCTCGTCAGAATACAGATTTTGCTTGGACAAGCTCAAAACAACAGCTGAATGGGAAGCACCTATCAGGATCACATATGTTCAAGGCTGTTTTCTTCTTTTGCTCACTTGCAGACAAGTTTTGTAAGCTAGCCAGCTGTTGGTGTTACAGTGCTACAAACAACAACAACAAAACAAGATGGACACCATTATCAGAGCTGTAAGTGTAAAACCCAACAAATTATTAAACATCCTGACCACCCTCTATTTGTTGAGGTTGATCTCCTTCCGTCTGGCCGTCGTACATCCAGGTACAATAAAGGCATTTAGTGGAAAAAGAAGAAGAAGAAGATGTGAATTGGGAAAAAAAAGCAGTAGCTGTCTACTCGAGGATGCGATTAAATAAAACATGATAATCAATTACACAAAAGTTGAACACGGATGTTGAATCATCCTTCCTGGATGATCTCTGTACCAGCAGTTGGAATGGCTTTTGAAACCAACTTGACACGGCTGCACAAATAAGCGAACATCATCTGCTGCCAATTCTGCACTTTGAAGGGGCTGAGTGGATGGCACAGCCAACACACACATTATACGTGTCAAGACGGCAGACCTTGAATGCCTTCTGCGTTTAGTGGCTGTGCAGAGATAGGGAGTCAGTCACTGGAATCTTTTGCTGTCTTTTGAACTATGAATTGAAGAGCCAGATCACACGGCTGGCATCCTTCCTGGGTGTTACTCCTTCAGTGTGCACCCGTCTTATTGTGACTCGCTTTACTTCAAGGCAATTAATAGATGTAGAATATTAGGCAGGCTTTTTGGCCACATGCAGAGATGCAAAATGTGATCAGCGACAGGTTGCGTTGGGTTGCAGGATTTCAAAACGCCAGAGGATTTAAGGACGGATGCCGAACTGAGAAAGTGGTAAACCTGATCCTAGCCTGGTGATATGAATGTTGCTTTCATGAGTTAGTTTTCAGCATTTCCCTCAAATAGATGTGGGCGTATCAATATGAAACAAATGACGAGCCTTGTGGGTTGCTGATGCTATTGAAGTGATACTGTAAAGAGCGGGCTAAAGGGCAAATCATCTACAATAAGTACACAACTGAAACATAAAAAGCAATAGAAATAGTAAACAGAAAGCAACAAGGCAATAAAACCATTCAAGCAAGACTTGAAGGCCAAATAGCTGTGGAATTATAGTAATTCATACAAACTGTTACCGAGCCAAAACTTTCAGAGCTCCATAAGGGAGTGTGGGAAAGAAATGGCCTACAGAAGAAACATTGCAGATAAATATAAGTGTGCCCATATTATTATGAGTTATTTATTATTATTATTTATTACAGTCTCTTAGACCTCATGGTTTTTTAACAGTCTTTTCAATATGTTCAGCCATTTTATTCCTTTGTAACCAATGAACATTGTGGAGGGGGATTTTGTTTTTCTCAGCAATCACTGAGGTCTGAAGCATTTGTCTTGATATGACGTTATTTTAAGTTGACACTGATGCATTGCTGTGTTCATACTCACTCTTTTCTCGGGTATTAAGAGTGGAGTAACAGACAAAAAAGCAACAATTTCAGTGGGATATTAAAAGACAAGCTGTCCAAGTAAAATATGCCCCTCTTTTTAACAGCAGCCAAAACAGTTGTAATTACTCATACTCTGTTTTGATGTTCCATCAACAGTGGTGTGCAAGTTCACACTTTAAAAAAGCAAGCTCAAAGATCAGTTCACACAGATTAAAATGAACAGTCCCAAATCATAAACTAGTTCATGTAAAAAAAATGTTTTTTACCCTTCTTTTAAAATGTTTCAACCCTGTGTGTCATTTCAATTTCCTTGGTGATGTGCCTGACATTTGGACTTTTTTGTATCTTAAATGCTACTGCTGCAATCTTGCAGATGTTATATTATATCTGAACAGAAATGTCAGCGTAGCTAGGATTCAGAGGAATGTATCTTGATCTGCACTAGAACATTATCAGTCATACCCAGGAGAAGGGATCAGAGGTTTCTCTGAAAGCAGGCTTGAGCCCAAGGTTCTCTGTAATTGGTAAATCAACTTTTTTCCACAGCCTATTTGGATAAATCTGTAACCCAATCAAACTATCCAAAGTATTCATGGCTCAATTGCTGTTACAGTAAATACCTTATCATACAGTGGTACTCCTTTGCATGGCACTGTTTTCAATGCACTGAGAAGCGCTCACATACTGTACTGTATAATTGGGCTACTTGTGCAATACTTTTTATTGAAATGCACAGCCAATTTCAAAACTTAACAGCACTGTATTAGCATGCTCCACATGTGTAGGTAATGCAATATGGGCTGTAATTGCGATTTGTTTGGGATCTAAGTAGAATATCCATGGTCAATGTTTGTGGGGGGAAAAGTTGCTGCTGCAGTTTATTTAATAAAGAAATGCTTGCTTTACAAAAAAAACCTGTTTCTTTTTACTATTGCATTGTTTTGGAAGAAGTAAACTAAAGAGATATTATTACTAAACCCTAGAAAAAACAAGACCCTGTGTGAACCCTAAAGCATTATTACATTCTAGTTTTGCTTGTGTTATCTTTCATATCAAGCTCTATGTTATTTTCTTGCTTTATTGTGGCTAGTGTTCCAAAACATTCACATTTTCATTTTTGACAGGTAAAGTTTTTATTTTTTTAAGAAGATATGTACTTTATTCATCCGGCGAGGGGAAATTCAATTTTACACTGTTTTATTGAACATGCTAAACACACGAAGGCTGAACTACACACAAAAGCACAATCAGGATTATGGAAATGCACTAATGGAGAGATGTCAGAGTGAGGGGGCTGCCCACAGCGAGCGCTCCTGGTGGGAAGGAGAGGATTCAGTGCCCAGCTCAAGGTAACCTGGGCAGTGCTCAGGAAGTGAACTGTACCTCTCCAGCAATCAGACCAATTTCCAGATTTGGTCCCCACCAGGACTTGAACCAGCAACCCTCTGGTTCCCAACCCAAGTCCCTACAGACTGATCTACTGCCGCCCTCTGTTTCCATAAAGCTTGATCAAGGTGGCATAAAAAATACATTTAAAAATGACCGCAATAAACGTCAAACTTCAGGGTTTTCCCCATTTATAAAATGTGAATGTTTATTAAATGTTGACAAGAACATTAAAACACAGTATCAAGATTCAGCAAAACAATCTATAGTACTTCACCAAAAAAAAAAAAAAAAAAACTAAAAGAAAAAAAACAGAGTTAGTTCTGCGCTGGGACTGGAGGAAACGGGCAATGGAGGGAGGGAGGAGGAGAGTGGGAACAGGAGTCAGGCAAAATAAAAAGCAGAGCAATAAAGAGTCAGGGAGTCAGGAGCTGGAAAGAGAAGAGAGAGGGGATGTTTTAGGAGCTGTGGAGTTAGGGGGAATTGGCAGCAGAGGCTAAGGCAATTAAGGAGGTACACAGTAAGAAAGATAGAAGGTTTGGGGACCTGGGGGATCGATGAGGAGTGTGCTGATGCACCGTAATGAGAGGGATAACTGGGAATGATTAGAGCCTTTTATTTCACTCTTTCATCATCTCTTCCGTTGGAGACATGGCAAGCTGCAGCAGAGAGAGTGACTATGAAGGCATCAAATCAACAAAAACACACAAAGGGAACATGGCAAATAATACATTACATTTAAATAACAAAGAGGGCAACATAGCATCAACAAATACAGTGAGCACAATGTGTTTGGGTGATTTTGAAGGAGTTGGTACTCCTGGGTTTTTAGGGTACAAGCGCAGTTCAACACAGTACCAGAAGGTGGCGTCCACTCTTATGGGGGAGGGTTCACGATCACAATAAGTAATAGATCTTTATAATTATGTAAATCTCTCTGTTATCAACACAAACATCGGGAGGGGAGGCAAGTTGTACATAAGCATCACATGACTTCAAAATTTCCACAGAGAGACGCACTCCTGCTCGGTCGTCTGGCCTCATGCACAAGGGCATGAACAAACCAAAGCATGTGCACATATGTGTACACACATAGACTCTTTAGACATGTGCACAAACACGCACATGTACACACACACACACACACACACACACACACACACACACACACACATTTTCATTCATTCTCACACGCAATCCAGTTCCTCCTCATTAAGCCTCCTTTCTAACTTGTTTTAAACATCCGACATTGTCATACCTCATTTTCTGTGCCGTTGTACTTTCATTAACAAGTATCTGTAACATGTCTGTGCTTCGATGTCGAAGAGAAGTGGCATCTGTCCATCAAATGACACCACTTACACATCCAAAGTGCTGCAGAAACAAACGCAGCAACAGGAGATCCATCCAAACGACCGACCTTGACAGAAACCTCACAGGTGTCCCAGTATCAGAGGTACTCAGTTCAAATTTTGTTAGCTCCATGCTCGATGCAACACTTTCCAGCAACACATTCAAAACAGTTTCCCAGTGTGATGGAACTCTCCAAAAGCCAAAATATAATTTGTTTGTATGTCCAGCAAGGCGGCTGATGTGCCAAGAGGTTTGAAATCTCTGTCATATTGTGCCTCCTTCTTCAAAGAGTCTTTATTTTTGTGCTGTAGTTCTGAATGAACGTGTGCTTGAAGGGATAATCACTATTCCTCCTGTTCGCTCCATCTCAGGTAGAGGAAGCGGGGGAAAAAAAGTTTCTTAAAATACATCTTGATTAAATTCTTTTTTTTTTTTTCTTTTTTTTTTACAGGTGTAGTTTTATTCAGTCCATGTGCTTGGGTACTCTTTGTGATTTAGCATAGTAGGAAAACAGATTCACATGCTCTAAAAGTCATACACACTGTACAATAAAATCTACAGATATTTTTTAAAGCTTTAAGTACATCCAAAGAAACTCGATGACAAAAAGTGTTGATTCACAAACTCAAAACAAACGAGAAAAAGGCGAAAAAAAAAAGAATTTTCTGCCAACAGGTTTTTTGTTTTCTTTTTTTTTTTTTGCTTGCAGCCTTTTGTTTTTGCCATAACACAATGTAGAACTCCTACTCAGAATAAAAAGACTGTTTTTTTCTTCAAGAGCGACAAATCTTTTTTTTTTTTTTTTACAGCAATTTTCCTCTCAGTTTGCAAGAGAAGAGATACTGTCGCCCAAACACATCCCAAAATAATCACCTGAAAAGAAAGCCAGCATGAAGAAAAGTCAGAAAAGGAAATGAGAAGATGTTGGTGTCACAACTCCTTAATAGGTCCAAATAAACAAAATCAATGTGGGGGTAGGTATGACACAGTCTTCTGATTGCTTTCTCAGTCTTGGATCTCATTGGTCTTTTCAAATCAGGTATTTCCATTACATGTATTTATATTTCCATTTAACAGTTGGTGAACGTATGCTAGGTATGCGTCATGTTTACTCTATCTGTGCTAAACTTTGTATTCGAGACACTCTACCCAGCCTATGACAGGAAGCTGATACAGTTAGGGAACTCTGTCTGTCTCCCTTTCTGTTGGAGACACGCACACACAAACACACAGAAACGCATGTACACAAAGTGCTTGGTTACCATCTGTGAGTGCTGCATCAGTTGGCCAGTACTCAGCTGGCAGGCAGATCAGACAAAGTGCCCAATATGCTCCCTAATGGCCCAAGTCAGATGAATGAGGTCCGCCCGTTGTCTCTTCTCTTTTTCTCATTTTCATCCTTTTTGCACCTCCTCTTCTTCCACTTTGACTAATTTACCTCTTGTCAAATTGTTTCCTTGTTCTTTCTCTTCACCTCTCTCTCTCTGTCTCTCTCTCTCTCTCTCTCTCTCCTCTCTCTTATTGTCTCAGGCCCTGTTGCCTACTACTATACCTTTTCTCATTTTAAAAGATCAAGGATGGAATGTGACTGCAAACTTCCTTTGCAAAAGGGGGAACACAGACGATTTGTACATATGTTTTGGAGGGGTTTTCTCTGATAGAGCAGCCCTCTCTCTGTTCACAGATTACACATTCTAAGTGCCATGTCAGCACAGATGGGAGGTCAGAGCTACACGTCAAGTGGGAACTCACTGGTGGGTGGTTCTGTGGGATGGGTGATGTGGACTCTGTATCAGGCTGGGTAAAGCTAGAGCAGTGGACTCTGGTTTAGAGTTTTGCTGTGCTGTTTTAATGAACTGAATCAAACAATCTTTTACTTCATTTTGATGCCAAATCTTTTACGTTATATCACCAAGCTTCTATATACCAGATTCTCTGTTATATTATTTAGAGCGACCCAACATGAAACTATTATAAGCAAGCACTTCCTTTCTACAGGCAGAAACCTCGAGCAGAACCGCACTCATTGTGTTGACATCCATCTGCCGTGTCGGCTAATTAAGAAGAAATTAAAGGATTGTGGTTTCATTTTCTTTGTCTCGACAACATGGAGGGAAAAAATGGTAACTAGGCATGACACTAGAAGCAGATTGTTGGCAGAATGGGGGCAAAAAAAACCAGGAAGAGACATGAGGAGGCAAACAGCAGAGTCAACTTAAAGAGGTTTGTTTTCAGTGAATGAACAATATTGAGACTCCGCCTAGCAGTCGCAAAGAGTGGTTTGTATTGTTCCCAAAAAGTTTTTACCATCTTTTTTCCTCATTTGTTCTCTGCATCGCGCGTAGGTCGTATCTTCATCTCAGAGAACTTGAGCGAGTACTGCCAGCCAGTCCAGGAGGACCACTCGATGCCGTCGGCGTACGAGGTATGCTGGCCGCGCAGGTATTGGCCATTCAGGTTGGACGTGTGGCAGTTGCGGTACCACCAGGCGCCGTGGTAGAAAGAGGCGCAGTTGTTCTCCGAGTGGTCGTTGTCGCTGTCTTTTGTGGTGAACTTCATCCCGTTGTGTTTCAGCAGGGAGTCACCTAGGGTGGGAAAAGATACACAGCATGTGAATTGTGTCACTGGTGCAAAAAAAAAAGCAACAAGCAGATGTTTTTTTTCTAAAAGATTAGCTCATTCGCATTTCAGAAATTAGAGGAAGCAAGCTCTCATAAAAGAGAGCAGCTGGGAGAGTAAGGAAAACCAGACTTTCTAAGCAACAGATATTGCATCCCCTCTGTGTCTTTCATCAACATACTCTTAGATCTGAGACCAGCAATCAGTAATTGGACCTAAAACTTAAAAAATGTCCGACCACTTTTCAATTAATCATTTCTATCAATGGACAGAGAAAACAATATATAACACTCAACAGTTCTCTGGAGTGTTGCTTCTCATTATCTAAGGTCAGACATTTTTGTAGCCAATTTATCAAAGGTTCTTGGCTGACCTTTTAATGTCTTTTTTTTTTGATAACGCACACAGGGTTGTTTAATCAGGATGGCTGTCAGCAGGCAGAAATGTCTATAAAAGCTACATGTAATGTAATGAATCACATCTGTTGAATTCATCTTTTCTTCAAGTAGCATCGTCATATGAAATATGCATTGATGTCACTCCCTCTTTATAGTCAATTAAAAGCCATTTTTTGCATGCAGCGTGTGAATTTCAATATGCAACATGTTCCAATTTCCAAATTGTCAAATATTGCAGCTTGGTAAGTGGCCATACTCAATAAGTGACAGTTTTTATTATACAGGAGTCCGGCCTTAAAAAGTTACATTAGATATGCAGCAACAAGGTTTGACTTTTCAAATAAAGATGTCAAGTTAGCACATATAAATAAGCAACATCTGGTTCAACTCCTAATACTGCTTTTTGAAAAATATATGTAACTTTGTTTCCCTTTGGACATAAAACAATAATTCACCCATGATTCAATATTGTGTGGCAGTTTGGTTGTGTTCAGGCAGCAAATTATCTGCGTCTGGGGAACGACTTACATCCTTATGTAGTCATAAATCTAAGGCATGTATGTTACTAAGGTTGGTTCAAGAACAAGGTATGTAAATTGCGTAAATAAGGCACAACATTATGCACCCTGGGTATTTTCTTAATGTCGCTAATGTTAATGTCATAACTCATTACATAACTAAAAATAGGAGGCAAATTTCAACTACGGCTTCAATTGAAAATCCTGTGTTTGCTTAACCTTTTTATGGTTGGCTGTACGTCACCTGACTTCAATGCAACATCCAAACAATAGTCCAGAGGACGGCACTTAGGAATGTCACTATGGGTTATATATCAAGAGCACTTTTCAGAGTGCAAATCCACGAAAGTGCCTTTTGAAAGCTCCGCCCTCATGATGTTTTTGTATCTTCACATTGATTCCCCAACAGCGTAATATTGGTGACCCAGTTTGTGAATTCACATTGCGTTACGGTGTTTCGGGCGTGTATAGAAACAGGGGGAACCTGACATACACACAGACACGGCGCTGTTCTCCCACGCTTGCTCCGCCGATCCCATCTTGTAAAACTTCTGTTACTACCTGTATGTAGTATGAGTGTGAGTGAATGTATGAGTGAAGATAGGTAGGAACAACACCTGCATTTCCTTATTCAGGATTTGCAGAGTAAGTCTGCTCCGGCAAAAGCAAGTTACAAAGCTGAAAATACACTCTCACTATTTTCATTACTAATAAATTCTCTACATGAATGACTTCTTTGCAGACCTGCTCTTTCAAGAGGCTTACAAGACAAAATGAAAGCTATGTGCTCTCAGATGCAGCGCTAGACCTTAGATTCTTCAGCAAATGGATGCTCAAAGATGTAATAATGTTCAATAAACTACCCATACCTCCCCTTCACTCTGTCTTTTCCCTCTTCTTTCTAAAGCAGTCTACACACTGTGAGCACAAGTGGATAGAAGAAAAATAACGCTGCAGGCAGAATGAAAGAGTGCTCACCAGCCATCAGGTGACGGCTAACAGCTCGTCAGGGCATCAAGCGGACCTTAATTGCCCAGGATGTGGCCACCCAGTTACCTACTCTCTAACTCTGTCCTACAATGCTTCCCATTTGGAATTACCATGGTAACCAGTCAGCAGAGAAAGGAGAATGTGTCAGGAACGTCTAATATTCACATCTGGTGTTGCTCAACGTTGGGAGAAAAGATATACGGGGGTAAAGAAAAATAATAACAGCTTAGTGTCAACAATGGGATGATGTCAAGTGAATTTAGAAAAAAAACAACAAAAACAAAAAAACAGAAGCACTTAAAGGCTCATTTGCAAGGCGCAGTATGTCACCTTGGTGGCCGGGGGCCGGCAGCCTCCCCCTGATGCCCATTAAGATCCAGCTGCTCCCAGACCCAAATAACCACCTGTCAGCTGATCAGAGCGCAGCCACAATTGGGCAATCCACTACCACTGATGATAATAAGAGAAGCTCTGTTAAGAGGGAAGAAAAGCTGAAATTTGGCTTGAAATATCAAAACAAAATCCCATATATCAAGCTTAAGGGTCTTGTTAAGATTCTACTAAAATCTGAGCGAAATTAAACAAACTAATGGAAAACTCCAGATAGCTCATTTAGCTGCCCAGACCAGTTGTCAAGATTGTAAGGATATTGCAGACTATTTTGATTGCCATCTGGTTGGTTCTGCCTACAAAAATAACAAATGTGACAGTCTGATACACAGTGAGAGGAGGACCAAAAAAAACCCTGCCGTCTAAAAGGTTTTGATTTCAATTGGTCAATTTATCACAGTTATCTGTTAGCATACATGCTACATGAGCTGAGATGTAACTTGTGTTCTAACAGCTAGGAATGCCATGCTGTAAATGTCGCCTTGTGGTGATAGCAAGAGATATATTCATATGTAGTTAATACTGCAATACCGACTGCACTCAACTCCTTCTAGGATTTCCAAATATCCAGCACTGAACTTCCACAGCTGAAAATAGACGACTATGGTCGACACACAACAAACATGGCTGTCAATGCTTGGTCAATGGAAAAAGCTAGTGCTGGGTGTAAACAGCCTATTAGCTGCCATGTACTTTTTCCAATGACCCATTTGTGTGATAAATATTCAATTACAACCAAACACCTTTCAGACCAAATACCAGATATCTTACAGACAATTGAAAACTTAAATGACAATATTGAAACGTAACTTACAGCTAACTTCTGATTTAAGATACTAACTATAAGTACATAAGAGCCTCCATTTCATAGTTAACAGGCTAATTTGGTTTCCAAGTCATGTTGGGGACAGGCTAGGGAAACAAACAGGACTTTTCAACAAACACCACACAACATTGTCCTATTACCTATACCTCTCCCCTTGTTTTTATTTCCCTTTGCCTCTCCTCCTGTTTTGCACCTGTCCCCTTGGTTCCTCCATCCTACTTTCTACCAGCTCTTCCCCTCCTTCCTCTCTCTCTTTTCTACTCCATATCTCATATCTGTCCCCATTCTCTCTGTGGTTTCGCAGCAACGTTTCCCCAAAGGTTTCTTTAAATTGCTTCTTCATTTCAACGGCAGGTTTTTGTTTACGCTGCAGGTCAAGCAGTGCAATTAATTGGCGGTAATTTAATCAGGGTGACAGGTAGCTGGCTTGGATCTGATGGTTTAGGGAGCAGAGACGCAGACACCAGCAGTCCCTTTCTCTGGACAAACTATAATGCCATACAGAAATGACACACTCATTTTAATGAAAGGTGCTGGAGGTTGGCAGGAACTTTCACACACTGCTGTTAGGTCTGTGTATAAATTAGGTTGAATGAAGAAAAGTGTCTACTAAGCACAAGCAAAGTCTAACTAGATCACTAAGAATACATACCTGCATTTCCAGAATAGTCTCCTACAGTTAATGGGTATCCATCATCGTCAGGGTCCACAGAAAACAGGCCTACTCCAAAAGTACCGTACTGGGCATATGCCGTGCTATTTTCAAAGTCCTCCAAGTCGATACGCAGCTCGTAGTTGGCCTGGATGGAAAGGGCATGGATCTGCTTCAGCCCTGCAAGACACAGAAAAAGCAATCCATTACTAAGTGCTCCCGCTGTTCTCAGTGAACAATTTAAAGTGATTTCAGCAGCTTCTCAATGCCGTACATTCTGCTGGAAATAAGATGTAACATGGTTTTTGTCCCATTTAGAGTCTCACTCCTCTGCATGTGGAAGATTTTTATTTTTCCCAAAACAAGATTAAAGTTCCTTTTGAAAAGTATGCATGGTGTGTAGAACTCCGAGAATTGTTTACAATGAGGACAGAGGGCGAGCTGAATTCACTGGCAAAAAGAAACTTCACACACAAACTTCTTCACTCAACATACAGTTGAAGCATGAGATCTACAACCAAGTTCCAACTGACAAACCCTTCACAGCAAAAAGTAGGAGGACACATGCATGAATATTGGAACATGACTCATGATTTTGATCAATCAATCTCTATTTTTATAATGCCAATTCATAACAAATGTTATCCTGAAACACTGCAAATAGAGCAGGCTTAGACTGTATCCTTTGTTCTAGCATTGTACTCTGGCTTTATTGGCATGAAAGTACTGTCTTTTTTTGTAAAGTGTGTCGAGATAACATTTTTATGAATTGGTGCTCTAGAAATGAAGATAGAAAAAACAACAACACGGCAGCAGGAAAAGTAGTACACATTAGGTAGACCCACTATGATGTCAACATTTGTTCATTGACTAACATTTTAAAGCCTTTAAGGTTTTGCTTTTTGATCACTATCATCTTTTAATTTTGGAGCCAAATGTAAAGATGTTTGGACCTGTCGCTGTCCTTGTTGACAGGTCGTTATGGTGGGTCTTTTCATTAACAGGCAGCCACATCTCAGATTTTTTAAAACCTTCAATTCATCAGGAGAATGTGTTCATATATCTTATTTTATGTTTGTAAGTATGGCTGGTAGTTGTTTGTCGGAGATTTTGTTACCTGTTGTAAGCTGCTGCCTATCTTGTCCAGGACACTATTGATCTCAATGAGTCTTTTTGAAAGACATAAAATAACAAGTAAAACAGCAAATATTTGTCAAGATCAACTAGAGTCATCAGGCAGAACATCTGCAGCCATACAGTCTGCCTCCAAGTCATTTAACACCCGCTTAAAAGCATCCATTGACACCAGATAATTTAGTTCCAGGACTTTTAGTAATTTGTTCCAAACAAAGGGAGCGGCAAGCTTAAACATCTTTTTTTCCTAGTTCTGTTCTGACCTCATCACTATGCTCCTATGTATGTATATATTTATTTATTTCACGTAGTAAGTAAACTGTTTCCAAGTAATGCCTCAATGACTGATTTCATTGTGATGAGTCCCTCAGTATGCTACATCCAGACACATTTGTTTAACATTCTGTCATGAAGCGCTGTGAGGATTGTTTGGAACAATGAATAGTAGATACCATTACATCACTGACATTTTACTCCTGTGTATCAACTGTGTTATGTATGTTGTGAAGATCTTTTTTTAAGCCAAATCCTGCAGGAGTAACCTGATTCTGCAGAGAGCTCTCTCTCACCAACAACTGCTTCATTTATTGACCCGCAGCACTGTTTGCTTAGAGCTCCTTTGTTGCTCTAACCTGACTGTTAAAGATTGGGAATTTGTCTGTAATTGCTTTGAACTCGCTATGGCAAGGTGGAGAGTCCTGGATAAATGAGACGCTGTAAAATTGAATCTGGCCTTGTATTACATGAGCTGTGAGAGTAAAAGCATTATAAAAACAGATACGCAGAAGGTTAGTTCTTTTTATTGAAAAAAAAAAAAGTAAGTAAGTACAATGAAAAAAATGAAAATATAGGGGATGATTTGTGAATTGTAGCATGGGCTAGCATGGCTTCACAGTTATAAAAGAAATATAATTCCCTTTTTGAACCAACCGGTTCTCATTTTTCAAAGCTCTCAATGCAGTACTAATGTGATAATTTCAATTCTCTCCAGGTCAGCTCTGACAAAAGAGGGAAAAAAGGGTGTTCTGACAGTGTACGGTTATTTAAACAGTAAAATAAAGACTCAGTTTGATATATGCTGCCCTGGAAAAGTCATTGACAGAGTGGTGCTTACGTTGCCCTACACTGTATTTAAAAGAAAATGAACATAAACCTTAAACGTACATACTTTCTAATGGCCAGCAGGGGGCTACTCCACTGGTTTCAGAAAAGGGAGTCGAACAAGAAGCCGCTAGCGAAATGACCATAAATCTTACTGAGTAATTACCTCTTTAAACATTTTCTAAAAAGTGTACAATCTCCAAAAATATTTTAAGTTTCCTCAAGAGAGCACAGTGTTCATTACGTAAATGATGGTACCATAACCTGTCCCATTAATGATGAAGGAAATGCTTTAGGGTGTGGCTTGTGTTTGGCAAGTTACTACCAAGGATGGCTATCAAACAGGAAACAGGATTGAAATATTCCAATTCATATCAACTTGTCAGTATGTGGTCACTTCTGGCTATGACAAACTAAGATAGTGAAAATGCCAGACTCTATAACTGTAGTCCATGAACACTTTATAACATCCAGTCAGCCTGACATCATTGATATACTTACACTCTATTGTAGATGTTCACAATCAGGTTGAAGATGTTTCTTTTTTTCCAGGTAAAATTAATTAACTTTATTGAAAAGTATGTGATCACTTACCTATCTTTAAACCCTATTTATCTTTGATTGTGTGCACAAGATCAAAGGCTGGTAACTTGCCTTTAAAGGGTCTATTATTAGGCTTTTTATGCCTTCATTTAGAGTTAGGCTACCTGGGCCCCATAACCTGCTTTTAAATGCCCTCGTTAAATCATGATTGAAAACAAAAAGTCTCCATTAAAACTTTTTAAGGACAAAAGATACATTTTTATAGAAAAGATAACACCATTTTCACATCAATTGTTCTATAGTTATGTGAAACTCATAACTTCTTACACATTTTCTTCTAAACACATTTCCATAAACAAAAGACAAGGAGTTCACATTCACCCGTCTCTGCTATTTCATTTCTCAGCCTGCCACAGTCATTGGATGCCCTAAACCGATCTTTTAATTGTTGCTCGATTCTTTCGAGAGAGTTTGTCAGACAGAAAGTGCCAGGAGGGAAAAGGTTTTCCCATCCTTTCTTCCTCGCCCCCTCCTGTGTTGGGAGTGATGGTGTTACCCAGGGCGAGCTTCCTTCTCCTGGGTTGATCAAACGTAGAAGGGGAAGACGAACGTATCAGGCATGAGATTAGCAGGGGGAGGAAAAGCTCGACCCGGGTGCCTTGAACGCTGATTCAAGGCAGGCAGACTAAAAAAAGTGGATTCAGTCTCGAGACTCCGTTAACAGCCTTCCTGTGCACTTACAAATGCACTCTATACAGTTGCAGTATTTATTTGGGAGACAGAGAATAAATGTTTGACAACTTGCATTGATGGAGAGGCTTCAAAGGCTTCACCGTTTAGAATAAGGGTTGGATTTAGAGCATGTAGAGCAAGCGACCGGTTCAAGGTTTGCTTCTACTTTTTATCCCATTGACTTTGATTTTCACACTCGAAGAATACTTCAAGTATAGTATACTCCAATAAACTACAAATAAAAAGTTATTTTTAAGGTGCAGAACAAAATAAAACTTCAATGTTCCACTCAGGATATAGATTACATTTTTAGTACAATTTTACTTACTAGTCTGTAGTATTTAAGTAGTATTTAAGTAGTCAACTTGAAAGATAGAGTCAGTAGCTTCTCCTATATATGAAAATGAAGACTTAGTAATACCGCTAAATCATTACTTATGGGCCTCCATACATGTGCTTTTCTGGCTGGCGAGTTGATGTGCCAATGACAGCGTGCAAGTGAGTTTAAGAATGGATATGTTTCAGCGATTGAACGCCATTCAAACTGGCAACTATTGCGGACATGGACATTGCAGCAAAGAAGAGAAAATATAAATGTAGTAAGGTGAAACACTACAAGGACAAAGCTCGTTCCAAAAAGATGGTGAACACTGGATTGGCTTTCACCTTGGTCGCACAGATAGCCTTCTTTCTGTCCGACAGGCAGGTGCCAAACTAAGATGCTTAGCCTGTACCAGCGTCCTAAATAATTGGCTTTTCCATTACAATACATGTGATATTCTCAGGTCGTTCCCAAGCAGTAAACGTCGACATGCTAAGACCGGCAGAAGGCGTGTGCTTCTGATGGATGAGCCCAATATGAATGTCGTGTTTACAAACTGCAACGAACAATGCTACTGATGCTATGTTTAAAGTAAATCACTAGCCCCCTTTTGACCAAAGGTCCCCAGAACTGAAAGGTTCCTGTGGCCCATAGTTGTCAACGTTTCCACCGCTGCCTGAAGTCCAAGGAAGATTATGCAAATCAGGCTGTATTGCTTTGTTAAGTGTTTCATTGATAAACAATGGAAGGGAGACGAGTGCTGTTTTTAGGGTTTCCTATAAATGGAAAGAGGACTGTATATTATTATAGAAATGTCTAGGAACAGGAGAACTTGTTGGAACTACAAAAAAGATGGTGCTCTACGGTAGAGGCCATGAGCAAAATGGAAGAAAGGTTAAAAGGCTTTATTAAATGGGCATGTACTTACGGTAGAACATGATTTAAAAAAAAGTATCTACGACGTGGTCCCCGACCAATAGAAATAATCTTGAACTGTTTTTGTTGTCTAGTGTGTAAAATCAATTAAAAGTATATTTATTTTTGCAAGGCTAAGAATGAAAAATTCCTGCTTTTTGTAAATTTGTCTTCATCAGTGGATTATGTGCAAGTAGAAGCAATGTTTATTTCTGTGTAATATTTCATATTATATATATATTAGTTCTGAGTGACATGTTTTTAAAGGGCACGCAACTTAGAATGAGCATGAAAGCAGAAGCAACCAGACAGGACATTTTTCTTTTATTGCACCTGAGCACTTAAGATGGCGATCATCATCATTAAAAATGAAGCTCATTCTCCTTTTTTTTAAAAGCTCAAACTGACTGAGTCTAATTTGAATTCAGCCATT